AACTGGTCCCAGGACAGAAACCTGTGGAACTGACAGAGCTGCCATCAAGGAGAACAAAACTATATGAACAAATGTAAAAGAAAGTTAATAGCTGTGATTTGAAAACATAAGCTGCGGCATGTGCAGCAGGTCAGTGCTGAAGCCGCAACTTTGCAGAATGTTTGACGTTTGAATAATATTCACGTCAGTGTTCTCCTCCCAACACTGGGCTGTTTACAACCTTTCAGATCACAAGACTCCACATCATCTGTAGTGTGACGGTGATGAGAACATGCTCAACATCGCATAATGTTAGATGCTGTGTGTTTTATGGTTTTAAACTGTGGCGCTCCTCCTGACCCTCTGCCACAGAGAGATCACATCCACGGTATCGGCTAGCACCAGGCCAACACATTAAATATGTAGGCATGTGTAAAGAAACCCTGTCCTCCATATCATCTTATTGAGACGAGAGCACCTCTACAGTTTTTTTTCCCCCAACTGCTTCCTTTTCCCTCTTTTCACCCCTTTAAATCCAGGTCTTTTCCTCCCTCATATCTACAACCAAGAATACAGCTGGAGACATTTAGGAGTGTGAAATGATCCGATTTAGTAGACCGCAGCTGCAGCTGCATATTAATCCTGAAATGATGCGTTCATGCAGCACATATGTCTTCATCCGAGTTGTACTTAACATTAACTTAAAAGTTATTTTAACTGCTGAATAGAGCCCTTTAGAAATACAATACACTTGATAAAAGTTAATAATGGTGTAATATTTTCCTAATGCATAAGATTGCTGGGATACATATTATTTGTCCTTCAGATAAGCCCCTGAGAAAAGGATGAATGAATTTGGGAAGGGGTGTCAGAGGCCTGGGGGGAAGGGTATAAGGAGGGGGTGGGCATTCTTTCGAGGCCCCCCATAATCACTATTTGTGTTTGGCTGCCTTGTCCCACTTCCAGTGTGTGTGTGTTGTTTGGTGGGTAAAAGGGTTTCGCTCGCAGCCTCGCCACTATAGTTTGATTTCATTCATTCCACTGAGGACAAAGCGAGCCGTTTGAGAGTTTCAGCAGCAGTGAAAAGCTGCCCGACGCCTGAATGTCTGATATATCTGCACCATTCACCCATATAGTTCACAAACCATGAGCACTGTGCAGGTTATTTCAGCTAAATGAAATTGTTCTCTACAAATGTTCTTACATTTTCATAAAAATATGAGGTTCAATTGGGGGAGAAAAAAATGTCTTACAAAGTAGATTTTTGCATGCAGCAGGAAACTATTTCAAGCATTTAAAAATGCATCTTCTTAGTTGGACGATCACTTACTGATGCTTTCACAGCTACTTTACTGACTTGTATTTAACGCTAACAGCTGCAAGTACTCATCCTAAGGCATGGCTAATGTAGGAAATGACCGACTAAAGGAGCTTTAACTCCATCTGGTTGAAATGGCAAATCCATCCATGAACTGGACACACTGTGACATGAAGTATTGCAAATCGCATGATCGCATCGCTTGAGATTTAGTCTGAGAGTTGGTTTTATTTTGAAATAAAACCAACTCTCTTGCTGTAAGGTCAAAGATGCGGACACTTGCACGCTTAAAGTATATTCAGAGTCAGAGAGCGCTTCACATGTCTTGCTGTTAGTCAGAGCTTGGGCCTTAGCCAGAGCTTACTGCCTGACACATTGAACTGACAGCTGGCCCAGTGATCCCACAACACTCAAACACACTCTCTGACATATGACAACACACTTGCTCACACACAGTCTGCCTCCTATACTGTATATCATATACAAATAAAACATTTCCTTTTTGGATCCCCACCTCATTATCTCCTTTGTCCTTCCAGAAAACAAATTGTTCTTCATTCAGCACTCATTGCCTTGCTCAAAGGCACCATGAACTCAGATTTTAAAGCACGCGCCCTTCCTCTTTGTCTCTGCTGTAGTAGAAGCTAATTATATACAGTTGCTGGGTTTTTTTGTGTTAAATTACAGAGTGGTTGATTTTTGCTGGAAGCTCTGTGGTGTGTTTGAGTCTAATAAGTGGACCTGGATTAGTGCCAAGTCAACCATCTCTCTTTTTCCACTCTTAGACCGTTTACTTTTATCTTCCTCGGTCTTCCTCTGTCCTTTTTTAAAGCCATTTCTTCTTCTGTCTTGACCCAGTCTCTGCTCCGATTCTCCTCTTCTTTTGTTGTTTTTTCTGCAATAATCACTGCTTTTTTTTTTTTCCGGATAATCTCCTAAAATCTGTAAAGCTTTACCTCTGACTTTACCAAAGTGTGTGTGAGTTATTGCTGTACACCCCCAGGACACCATGTTCCTTCCTGACCAGAGCTACTTACAGTATACTTTGTTTTACTTCTTTAATAATTTTTAAAGCAAGTTCCAAGAGCATCTCAAACATCCTGTGAACAGCTGCTCATACTGTAACATATGTTGACTTCACAAAAAACATGAGACGTACAATCTGTAGTATGAGTCACTGTCTAGCCAATCATACGCTGACACAATGTATGTAGCATTACTGAAGCTTTAAGCTCTTAATCCCAGGGGGTTGCTGCATCATATGGAGCTGCTGCATAGACCAACGGTGCCACAGATTAAAGAAGGAAATGACCAACAAACATCAGCATGCGCACAGTTTTTACAGGTAGTCTGAGGATATTTGTGACGAAGAATGCCAATTATGTGATCACCTGCAGTGCTTTAGTCTGGTATGAGTGGATTGCTTTGTTCTCCGGTGTGGTCATTCTGTCTTATTTTCCCACAGACTAAAGGTTTCATGCTGTTACAGACTGTTTTTAGTTGTTTGGCTCAAGTGACTCACAAGTCCTGGTTTATGACCGCCTGATAACATCGCCGATGGCCTCAGCTGCACTTTGTGTTTACCGTAAAATGACGCATTCACACTTTGGTAATTAACAATAGACTCGCTGAACATATCGTTGTGCGTTAACATCTTTAATAACTACAGGATTAGATTTAGAGATTTAAAGAGGGAGCAAGTAAGGCACATCTCAGAGAAATAAAGTCTAAGAAGAGAGAGTGTTAGTTTGTATAAGTCTGCGTCCAGTTCACATGTCTGATTGGCTGACAGTGTTACAGTTAGATTAGCTAGCCCTTAATAGCTTTTTGGACTATCTATTGACATTTCTAATGTGACATCAGACGCACATTGCTTAAGAGTTGTGTGCCATATTGGATGTGATAGAACCACTGGTTGCCTTGGGAGGCTGGCGAGTGGTTCCTGCAGTTTGCCGGCTCTTGCTGGGTGAAATCAGTTGCAGAGAAGGTGCTTAACCAAAAACCTTCTAGTAATTGCTTTGATAGCTAGCACATTGTTACGGTGGCCCGTAGTTTGTCAGTTTTTTTGTTTTTCATGTTTCATGCTGCAAACAACTTGCTAACTACTAGATAATTAGTAGTAAAAGTTGAAGTTGTGCTTCCAGTGTTTCGAAAGGGCAGCTTTTACCATCAGGGAGGGCAGCAGGCCAGTGTTTGTAGACAAGCCTGTCACTTCCAACTATGACCGAAGCAGCATGCTAGCAACCACAGCGATTACAAGGAGGTTTTTGCCATTTGGTTTGGAAATGCACATTTTTCCCTACTGACTGATGACAATTAGGCAGTCACCGACTGGTCTCCAGGTTTGTGTGACGAGCATTATTCACATTATCCTACATTGCCATCATAATTGTCACATGTCCAAAATGTTAATGCCGCATGTTTAGCAGTCACATGTGTCAAAAACCTCCAAAAATGGGCATTGCACATATGAAAGTGCCTTAAAGCTCCATTCATTCTAATAGAACTGGGGGTTTCTGAAGCCAACTATATAGAAGTCTATGAGAGCATGACCTCACTTCTCACTAGTGGTCTGCTAGTGAGAATTTTGGTGTAACCAAGTAAATGCAGTGCTAGTATCGCTGTTCCCAATACAGATGTCGATACTTTTAACCTATAAAGGCTGCTTAGTCAAAATATTTTGCTATGAATTATGAATGAAAAATGTGCTCACTATGTCATAGTCATGGTAAATTATGGTCACCTTTGGTGTTAAATAGAAAATAAAACAGAGTGTGTTGTTGTCTATGGTTAGCTTGTGATTGTGAATTGGAGACATCCACACTGTTAACCTCACGGTGGCCTATTTCCATCTTTTATATGCAGTTTGTTATCAGAGAGAAAAGTGGAGCTTTTAAACCTCATCCATCAGGACACTTTCACCACAAAGCTTATCCTAGATGAGATTAAAACAGCGACTCTTCTAAAGATCCTATAATCAGTCTGGTGTTGCAATTTTTGGGTCGATGGTCCCTTTATAAAAATGTGAACAGTTTGTTTGGGTTGCACTTGGATGGTAATTAATGCATCTCACTGCCAGTCCACACCATACTGCTAGTAAACCTTGCCACACTTTGCTCACACCAGCCGCGGTGCCAGCATTTGTCTGCAAACACTAAGAGACACACACACACACGTAGCGATGCTCCATCATACACACTTAGATGACATTATAAATTCTCAGTTTTCATTCACAGATGCACACATGATCGGACACAGTTAACAATCCAATCCCTGTTTTTGGCATACATGGCTCACACATGGCAGCCAAATCAGAGGGGGGAGAGTGCTTTTTCTCTATCTCTCTGTCTCTACATGTCTCAAAGGGCTAAATGAGATTACTGTAATCCAGCCTGACCACAGGACAGAGGAAATCCAAATGGTGTTTACTTCATCTCCAGTCTACATTACTTTTACCCCTTTTCACTCTTTCTCCTTTTTGGATTTTCTCATTTTACTCCCTCCTTTTTTCACGTGCCCTGCCCTCTTTATTTCGCCCTACTTCCCATGCTCCTCCCCTTTTACACCTTCCACATATTTATATATAAACACACTTTAAAAAAAAAAAAGTTCAGCTGTTGGTTATATTGGCAAAAGAGTTGACAGTGGATTTTGGTTTGGAGACTTTGTTTTCTAACATACTGTTTTCTGTTTCTTTGTTTAGATGACATCGTGCAAAAGGATGATACTCCTATGTATGCAGCACAAATCGGCTCTGAACTCCAGAAACAGTTTGCCATCCTGCCAGGTTGGTTTGATATTATACACATGCACAAAGTGGCAGTTAATTATTTCAAGACATACATAACTTTCTCCTCCTTTTGATATGTAAAGAACATGCGAGTAAACCCGGCTCTTTGAATCAGCTTATCCATGTCAGTGACTTAGTGGTGAAACTCATGATGAACGAGTGACCCCAGAGAGATCTCGGTGTCTTTCCAAATGTGCAGCATGGATTAGATTAAACTGGACAATTGAGTTGCTAACAAACACATTCATGTGTGTGAACAGGGGAATTTATGTCGGGGCAGAGCTAATGGGGGTTATAAACATAGCGCAATTGGCCTAACTCTTTAGAATCTAATTATATCTTTGTGTCTGTGTAGCTCAGTGAAACGCAGTCCTCTCTCTACTTGCGCTCTTCTATGTAACAAAACTGTTGGTGCAATTAAAAAAAAAAAATAAATGTCTCTGGCAGCAAAAACACTTCCAGGACATGAAGGCGGATATGTCCAGCAGAGTCCAAAAATAGTTCCGCTCATACTTACATGACAGCCAAAGCGACACTTTGTGAAAGGCTTTTAACCTTTTGATAATTTATTTGCTTCTGTTTGTGTAGTTACCAATATTTTAACTAATAAAATAAAATAATAAAAGTTTAAATAATTTTGATTTCATTGAAGCGTAATACCTTAAGGGTTTTGCTTTGCGCTGCAGATATATTTGGACCTTTCTGTGTCTGCAAAGCTATAAACTATATGTGGGACCAATTTACTATCCTTCACACTCGGGGAAAATGTTGATGCAGCACTAACAAAATTATTGTGACCGTGTGCAATGAACTATATTATTGTCTTTGAAATTGGGACAACAATTGGGCTTCGAAGATGGGAACAAGGTCTGTGTCTACTTGCAGTCAGTTTCCATGTTGAAAGGAACTTTGTTCCATCAAGACGATGCTATCTGATGGAGTCAGGTAGAATGGGGTCTGTGACAATATGGCATTAACTATGATTGATTTGCAGAAATTGCAAGTCTGTGGCTATAGAAATTCGGAAATTCTTCCACAAACAGTGACATAGTTCCTGCAAAATAGTTGTTTAACTATAAAATGACTCAGGCGCTCTGCAACCTTGCTCTTATACCAGAATACAACCAGCTGAGTTGAGTCCTCTGTTGCAAAGACACGTGACACTAGCAGTATGTTGACTTTTTTTTGTTTATAAATTAGATGACAGTTATGTGCAAACCTTGATCTGTCTGTCTGAGAGTGATTGCAGTGTTTCTAAATCAGACTGCAATTGCTTGGCGACAAGTTGCCTTGTGTAATCAAGCTCAACTTTGTAAACAGTCGTGTGCAACTCAAAGTAAAGAAATTCAATGCAATTTTGTCTTGTTATTTTTTTCCCTGGTTGCAAGGAGGTTGTCGTCATATTTTTACTCTAGTATGGAGGTGGTTTTCAGGTGTTTACTTAAAAAAAACAAAAACAAACAAAGCAGGCATGGCAGGAAAGAACTGCTAAGAGAAGGAAAAAAAAGGGGGGGGGAAGAAAAATATTCTCATTCATTACAAATCAGACTCATGAAAAACACAAAAATAGCCAGGAGCTGGGAGAGAGAGAGAGAGAGAGCAACGGCCCACAAAAACGCATGCATCACATGGTACCTGCCCCAAACAAAGGAAAAACAAAAAATCCCAACATGACCAAAAAAACTCATTTGAGACAACATGATGGAGTAGTGTACAAATCCACATGAAAATGCAGTGAAACTCTACGGGCAGATTCAACCAGAAAAAGAAAAGAGTTGATCCCAATGGTCTCTGGACCCCTGTAGGGACCCAATGTGGAAATAACTTGGTCAGTTACTTGATGAGTTGGCCCAGAAATTTGAGCCATGAGGCAATCATAAACCACCACTACACAAATGCACACAAAGCAGCATGACAATACATGTAGCAAGAAACTACTCTTAGAGCTTATTGGGTTAATGACGATACGCCTGACAGTGAAGGCTGATGAATAATTCATCGCCCACATGTTCTGCTTATGAAACTTACCTGCTCATACAAAAGAGTGTGTGTGTGTGTGTTGTTGTGTGTGGTGTGTGTGTGTGTGTTGGTGTGTGTTTGGTGTGTTTGTGTGTGTGTGTGTTGTTGTGTGTGTGTGTGGTCTGTATGTGTGTTTATAAATTGATTTTGCTCTGTTTCTAGTCCAGAGGCGTGGTAAACAATCTCATGTAAGGCTCTTTAATGCTTTCTTTATTCTGATAGATCCAAAATAATTTGCATGACTTTCCAATATGGAAACAGGAGCTGTATGTACTTTATGATTTTTACCAGCTGCGCACTTACATAGCTAAGACAAATGGAGTTATGTGTTGAGTGTATTTATATAAGCGAGGAAAGTAGGGCAAAAAGAACCATTAAAATAACTTCAAGTTTTCAATCCACATGTCATCAAATCAATAATAAGATTGACAACACCAGGTGGCACGTGTGACATTTCTGTGATTCCTGTCTGTCTCCAGGGGGGCGAGGGATGAATGGAAGCCCCGTCATCGTCTTCCCAGAATTCCCAAGTTTCAGCGAGCTAGAAGAGGAGGAGCTCCAAAATGTCCTCAGCTACCTCACGAGTGTCCCCAGGTGAGTGTCTCTCACCCCTCCTCTCACACATGTGCTGTGCTAACAGAGCTTGAGGTGTAATACCAGGCGGAGCCAACAGATGCCAGCACAACACCAAAGGCCTGACTCGAGGAGGTGGCACAAAAGACACAAAGGTTTAGAGAAGAATGGAAGACTAAAGAAGAAGTCACTGATAACTGGCAAATCAAAAATTGAAACTGTACTCTGTGATGTGCATATACGAACAGAATTTTTGTTACAATGTTAAAACATTGCTCATATGAACTCATATAGTAGAACTTAGGCCTGATGAAAGGTTTTGTATTTATAGTTTTTCTATATTTCTGCAGTGGAGGTTTGTTTTCCTAACTAGAATATTTTTTTTATTGATCTGTTCTCATTACTCCTCTGTCCTCCTTCTTTATGCTCCCTCTGCCCCTCCACCCTCTCACCTCCCCTCCCTTCCTTTCACCTTTCCTTTAGTGCTGAGCGCAGCACTCTCATCAAGCACAGACATGCTCTCACACACATAATTAAAGGAGAAAGGAAGATGCAGCTGTATATCTATCTGTGTGTGTGTGTGTGTGTGTGTGTGTGTGTGCGCGCATATGTTTGTGTGTGTGTCATGGCGGCCATTCAGTGGATCATCACCTTTCATATAACAGACACACACTCACACCCCTCCCTCTCTGCCCACCAGCTATTTTGCACCCTGCTGCCAATCGGCTGAGCTCCCGGGTATCCGATTGGCTCTGAGCGGCAGAGCTCGGCTTTAATTGGCTGAGGGTGGGACGCGGGTGGTGGAGGAGCAGAGAGAGAGGCAAAAGGAGGAGGGAGATGCTCTGTGAGGATGTGAACGGTCACCTCGCTCCATCCGCGAGCTGCAAGAAGATGATTGTGGATGCACCGACTGGACATTGACATCAGCCGAATAGGAGAGAACTGAGGAAGGCTGGACTATATTTGGATGATGACATTGGATTATTGAGGATTTTTGTTAGATTTCTTTTTCTTTGGGCTCGGAATATCAAAGATTTTCTTCGCCCGGCTTTTTCATTTATGTGGATTGAATCTATTTAGCAGTAGCGATGGACTGAGGATTTGCCGCTTGCGGCGTCCACCGGGTAGTGTAACGCATTGCTTTTCTTAACATCTCTGTGTGTGATGATGAAAATTGGCTAATAATGACATCCAGATGGACCGACTCAGCAGTATTTGTATGGTTGGCCTCACAGTCGGGGTGTGTGTTTGTGTGTGTGTGTGTGTGTGTCAGGCTTAAATATTCATCCTTCCTGCTTGTGTGTTTAGGTGTCAGGATACACGTCAGCTTATCCAGCGGGGGACCTTTGCAGGAAAAAGCCATGTACACACACAAACTAGCTTAATGAGGCTGCTACATATGGCACTGCCTGTGGAATGAATGGCAAGATTTTTCACATGCACACATGCTAATGCAGAGCCAAGGTTGCCATGGTAATCACAAGGGTCGCTCTCTAATCGCCACTGAAGGCAAATGATGAAGAGGCAGTAGGTAGCAAGGTTTGAACAAGGGATACTTGACTTCCTTTGACCAGGGGCCACTTGTGGAAAATGACCTGAGGCTAGTGGGGAGTAAAAATAAAAATTTATACCCTTTTTTTCCCAACTAAGTGAAGGACTGACAAAAGGCCCATTCAGCAGCTGCAACTGCATCTTAACTGTAAATTTGACATTTTAAAAAGGTTATATAGCACTAAACAAAGAAACTGCAACCTCTTCAGTTTTTTTTCCTTAGGATAATACAAAAGCTTTGATTAGCTATGTCTACAGTGACCTACAGTGGGCCTGATTTGTCTGTAAGTTTCCTAAACCTCCTAGATAATAAACATAACCTATGCCATAATCTGTCAGCCAACAGTGAAACTGCCTAACGTATTCTTAATGCAAGCTGATTTGAAATTATCTTTTATAAAATAACTCAATTATTGCTTTAGCTGGAGCTCAAGGGCCCTCTCAATAATGTACAAGCCACCGCTGTGGAGGGCAAATTCTAGTTAAGGCCCCTTTTTTGGGGATATTCTGGTACCAAATTCAGTAGTTTGCCTTGTTATCGAGGCCTTGACTTAAACATACACACCCTCTTTTTCTTTCCTGCACACACAGGAAAAGCAAAGGTGTTTTTCTGTGGGGATTAACAGTGTGTGTATGTGTGTGTTTCTCTCCTGTAGTGTGGAAGCATCAGGAGTGGGTTTCATCCTGGTCATCGACAGACGGCTGGACCGATGGGCTGCTGTCAGGGCCACCCTGCTCCGCATCGCAGTAAGAACCTACTTGTTTGGTTATTTATTTCATTTTTGTGTGTGTGTTTCTATGTGTGTGCGTGTCGGAGGAAGATGGGAGAAACTGTCCTAGGACTTTACCGAACCAATTTGTCTGCGTGCATCATTTGCTGACAAAATCCCTCTGATGACTCCAAATAGCTGTTTTGGAGTGTGTGCATTACTCTGCATGTGCTAATGCTTGTTTTAGTCCAGATCTGTGGGTGTAGTTGCTGGTGTCAGCTGTCCGTGTGTATAATTTTCAGCTTAGCAGCATTTAGAATAATAGATGTTTTGGAGTTTTTAGTATTTGTGAAATTGCGCATGCAGTAAGTGGTTGTTTTACCTCATTAACTTCATATGCACTGGGAGCTTGGACATTTTCCTTTTTCTGCATGTTGAAATGTGGCAGGATGAGGTTAAAAATAGCTTATTATGTTAGAGTGGGTGGTGGAATCTCTGAAAGTGCACTCATAGCCTTTGTGTACGCTGAGACTTACTCAAAAAGCAGAAATAGAAGGTCCACACAGTGCTGGCCATGAGTCTCATTCTGTAATTGTTTTATAACCATCAGTGTATGCTCCATTAGCCTACTAGCCTACTTACTTCTTGGTAACTTTCACAACTCTATAAGATGATAAACTGAAGAGAGTGTGACATTAAAGAGGAAGGCAAGAGAGGGGGGACTAGTAGTATAAGAGAGGGGTTATATATCTTATTATTATAATAATACTTAATATGCATGTAAATTAGGCAGACTTGGTAATAATAATCAATAGTCATGAAACTGAAGTGTCCATACTTATTGTCATTTCTGACAATTAAAATTAAATGCCATTAATACCATTATATTATAAACTATTTGTATTAAATTCAAATGAAACTCAATTCAATTCAATTTTATTTTTTCAGCATCAAATTATAACAAGTCACCTCAAGGCGCTTTAAATAGTAAGGAAAAGGCCCTACAATAATACAGAGAAAAGCCCAACAATCAGAGGATCCACTTTGAGCAAGCGAGTGGCGACAGTGGGAAGAAAAAACTCCCTTTTAACGGGAAGGAATCTCCAGCAGAGCCAGGGAGCAGGGAGGGAGGCTCTGCTGGAGATTCCTTCCCATTAAAAGGGAGTTTTTCCTTCCCACTGTCGCCAAGCGATTTATTTAAGTAAATAAATCGCTCCTCGGTAAAATCTAGCATGTTGTGCCTGATTTTATCCTCCCATCTTTTTGTCCTATCTACTGAGCTGAGGTCTGTGAGGTGACACGCCACAGCACTAAAAATCTTAGATTTTAAGACATTTGAAGATGCCAAGGTGGGAATTTAAGTATGTGTCTTTTTGCAGATCGACTGGTAGCAGTCAGCAAGATGTTGGCCAATAGCGCTGTTCTCTATTTGGCTTTTCTTTGAGACCGAACTATTGCTTGGGCACCGACTTTAATTTTTTGTACTATACCATCTTTCACTTTGGTTTTCCCTTACTTACATTTTTTTGTAAGCTGTCATCTGTAATCAGTACTCTATCTGTGAATTGTAATAACGTCGACCAAAACAAGGATAAAGCTTCGCCACCCCGTTCACATCTGTTGTCAGGATGCTCTTCCTGTATTGTACCTTTTACCATGTCCAATTTATGCAAATGTATGCAAATGTATGCTAATTGGGCACTGGTTATCATCAGGCTTAACGGTTTTTCCATGGTATCTCTTGAAAACTATCCCCACTGTGGAAATAAGTCATTATGAGGCTGCTGGCTTTGGTAACTGAACGCAAAGTCAAGTTAACCTACACACAGAAAATATCCAGTGCTAATAATGGTAATAATGAACCATTATTCCAGTCCATTGGCTCGTTCAGTGTCCTGAAACAGGATGTTGATGAGCTGTAGAATTCCATGAACCAACAATCAATCTGCTTTATCAGGTGTAAAGCTACTTCAAGGTGCAAGCAAAACCACAGAGATGTTTTTTGAAGGAAAAGTGTGAATGTAATCATTGAGTATGGATTAAGCGCTGAAATCATATTATCTAAAAATAATAGTTTAATGTTTTTATCGCCACTGAAGTAACGTCTTACTGGCAAGATATTAACATTTTAAAAATATCCAGAAGACTGGCACCTGCTCTAGGAGAGCTGGGCAGAGCCGTTGAAGGCCTTAACCCATCAGCAGGACTGATATCTGCTCTTTTATGTGAGGAGGAACAGAATGAGCGCTGCCAGAGCTATAAAATTATCTCCAGCAGGACACTGGTGTGAATGTCTCTGACCAAACAGTTAGAAACAGAATTCATGAGAGCGGCCTGAGGACCTGAGATCCTTTAGTGGGCCCTGTGCTCAGTGCCCAGCACCACATAGTGCCGTAGAATACCACAACTGACAGGTCCACACTGGCACCCTGTGCTTTTCATAGGTGAGAGCAGGTCCACCCTGTCCACTTGTGACAGACATGAAAGGGTCTGGAGAAGCCATGGAGAAAACCTGTAACATCGTTCATTATGTCTTTGAATTCAGCTCTCCTAACACATTAAACAGTCCATGCAGGTGTAAATATTCAGCATGTGTTTTTTCCCATTGAGATCTGATGTATTTTCAAACTGTTCCTTAAATTTTTTGTGCAGTGTGTAATTCTTTTGCCATTTTAGTCTATATTTTAGGCCCATAAATAATTTTTGGCAAATGATACTCAGGTCTTAGTAAATTGTACATGTATCCTTTATGTATGCACATATAGGTATTCTGGAAGTGACAGTCATTTAACCTAACACCACCATCTGCTTAGCTTCACTTCATGTATGAGCTGCAAACAGTGGTTCAGTGTATCGTAAACTGTGAAGCCAAAACCACCTTACTGACTAAATAATGTTATAAAACCACTTCTAAATTACCTAATGCATGTATTTCTGTATAGTGTTCTACATTCAGTTTTCATATCAGACAACATATGCGCTCAGACTGATATATTTGTGGCAAACCTTTATCAGTTAATCATATCAGCTCAGTGAGACATAGCTTTATGTGTGCAGCCCTTCCTGGAGCCTTGCGATGACCTCCTGTAAAATTCCATTTTATTTATAACAAAACATTTTCAGTACCACCACCACACTTCCAAAGCTACACAGTGTATAATCTTTATATATTTTCATTTTGGGTCTTTTTGTTCCCAGTCTTCTCTGTCTTTAAATTAAACAAAAGATAAAAAAAAAAGAAGAGAAATCAAGCCAAGATGACAAATGTGGCCTCCTATAATTTAGAGTGGTGGTAGAGTTTATCAGCATGGTAGCAGAAGCTTCTCTGCTGGATATCCCTTCCTTCCTTTACCTCTCCCTCTCATTACCCCGTCTCTCTCCCCTTTGAATCATCCATCACTCCATTCCTCTGTTTTGTTCTCACCCCCCTCGGAGTTGCCTTCCTCACTTTAAAAAGGATTTTTTTTAACTCAGAAAGCTGAAATGTGTATTTTTATTTTCAGTGCGGCGAAATGCTTTTTTAAAAAAAATATATATATTCATGGCCTGCTCTCAAAATGAATGATGTAATGGTTTGATGTAGTGGATATTTTGTGTGAATAAGATTCCAACTGGCAGTTTCAGCTGTTATGTGAATGCCTTTTCATGTTTCATGTAGGGAGGGAGGTAAAATATAAAAGGGTATGTCAAGTCCACACTGGAAGCAGGCAGCATTATAACCTAACCTGAAGGCATGAAGGCCAGGTGGTGAGACCGACTGTCTGACATGATCTCCTCCTCACTCGCCTGTGGTTGGATGTCCTTGCTGGACACGCCTGTTTTGTCCACTAGCCAGTGGCAGTCGGCCTCATTGGAGAATGAAAGTTGTTCATCGTCCCGTGAGATGCTCTATTCGTGAAGGCTGCTCAAGGTCACGTGCTGCCATTTGCTGGTTTGCCAGGGGGAACGAGGGACGGAAAAAAATAAAGGAGTGGGCAAGTGTTAGTAGTATTACTGCAAAGCAAAGGCACAGATGCTCTCAGGCTGCTTTGTTGGTGCTTTCACCATCTAGACACAGTGCTGGGTTGTAAAATTAAGGTAGTGAGCTCATTGGATAGTTTGATTTTGATATTTATCAGTGCGGAAATAATTGGTTACTGTGAAGAGACACTCAGGTGTTGAGTTTAAAGATTTAAAGAAACACTCCACTGCCCTAGAGAGAATATTATTGCTCATGTCTGAAGTGTTACTTTCCTTTCCCCCCCACTTTGTGTAGTGAACATGGAGGACCATCTTACCATATATGCAAATGCCAGAATGTATCTAGTATTCTGGTTAAATTATGGGACACCTTCATGTCTGCTGCAGCTCATCTTTGTGATTAGGGGTAATAAATACACAGGCATCCATGCATACGGAAACATTGCTGCAGGCGGAGGATGCAGATGGCTCAGTCAGCCGGTGCCAGTGAGAGGCTCGGGTTTGTTGCAACAGATCATTTTTAACATCAGCTAAAAAGGCGTTCCAGTAAATTTCAGCACTCTCCCTGTCAAGATCTCAGCTGAGCGTCTTTGTTGCAACTGGGACATTGTTCACGTCTAAAAGTGAGAGCAGTAATGCAGGTGGTGGAGGGGGGGTTTGAGCACGTGGTGGATGGAGGTGGTTTAATATGGTGGCGGGCCAACTCCCGGGAGAGCAGTGTGGATGTGATTAGAGGACATGACTGAAGTGGTTTTTCCCGTTCCACCCATCCTTCTTCCCTTCCATCATCCCGCTCAAAAGAAAATTATATTCTAATTCTTATCATTTATTAATGCGCGCGGAAAATGTCTGTGCGTGCGCGTGCATGCATCGCTTTAATGTATATGCGGGGTATCGGTGTTCATCTGTCACGGGGAGTGCACCGAGCAGCACGTGTATTGTCATGTTAATGCGGAGCTACAAATTAAAACAGGACCTCTCAGGGTTTATTGAATTTAATGACCTCCAATTACACATGCGCTGCTCACTGATGTCTGGATGGTGTGTTATTGATGAGGGAAAAAAAAGAAAAACTAAAAAAATACACAATGCATCATTTTTTTTCTGTAGTTAACACGCACTGTCATCTGTCATTAATCCCAATAGGAAGCACTGTATGTAAAAGATATGCAGGCAGTATGGGTGGAAAGATGTTGTGTAGTGAGTGAATTTTCCAACCTGGCTGTCTCTCATCAACATCACAGCAAGCTGTGTGTGTGTGTGTGTGTGTGTGTGTGTGTGTGTGTGTGTGTGTGTAAAAGCCAAAAATAAATGACGGGACGAGTAGAATGAGGCTGCGGCACAGGGAACACTCTTAGACGACTCCTCGTCTACTCTCTCTTTCCCGCTAAGGCTCTCCACGCGTTTCCATGACAACCCAATGCAGGCATTTCATGACAATGATGTATGCACGCTGGATGTGTGTGAGCGCCTCTGTACCAGTGCAGTCCTTTTCCTTGTAGACTAAATTGAAGCCATGCTTTACGGATGACTTATTTATCATAGGGCTCGTACTCTTTGCTGCGTGTTACCAGTGATTCCAATGAATAAGGCAGCCGTGGCGCTATTTTGTACAGACTGTCGTCACACACTCACTCTTGTCAGTGAATAAATCAACTAAAAATATTCCCAAATAACACAGGGCGCTGTATTTAGATATTATATGTGCATGGCTCAGTGGGTTAAACCTCAGCTGAAGTTTGATCAGCAGAGAAGACATGAATTTACCAAGAAAAGCAGTGTCAATTAAACCAGCTCTAAACCAAAAAACAACAGGAAAAAAGCTTTAATCTTTAAGCATCATCATCTTTCAGATTTTCTTTTGTCAGCAGACACAATTTATGGTTATGCTAAAAATGTCATGAGCTTGTCACAGAGCTCTAAGCTTGCCTCTGGTGCTGTGTGTGTGTGTGTGTGTGTGTGTGTGTGTGTGTGTGTGTGTGTGTGTGTGTGTGTGTGTGTGTGTGTGTGACCACATGTCATCCTGCATTGATTTACGATGTCTAACAGGGCGGAGCAATTCACTCGGGGATTTAGAGGAAGCCACAACCGATATAGCCTTTCAGCTGAGTGGCCTCCAGAGCTGCTGCCTGTCTGAAGGCAGTTCTGTGTTTTTAACTTGCTAGTGTGGAGGTGGACAGACCAAATGCTACAGCTACTCCCCAAAGTCACAGGACTAATAACATTACACTGCAGTCACAGCTTTCTAGGTGAGAGCTGCTGCAGGGGAACTGCAGTGAAGAAACGCAGCAGATTTATTAGATGTTAAACGCTCTTAAATCTCTTTACTGCTGGTTTGGGATTGCAGCAGTGGGACAGTGGGCACAGATGTGAGGTTTGTTTAATGCCTCACTCAGGAGCTGCACCGTTAAACCAGGGCTCTGCCTTTATTACTGTCAGGATCGAGAGACTATACAGTTGGACTGGCACAACTGTGAACCTTATATCTCACAAATTTACAGTGTCTTAAAGTCAACTTTGCTTTAGGCTATGAGCACAGCATTGCTTCTGAGGTAGTTATATAGGGAGGGCTGTTACGGGGACTTCAGTTTAACCGAGAGCTTTTTTCTGTTCTGTTCGGGCAAAGCCTCTGTGCCAAAATGTGCAGCACTTCATCTAGCAGGCACTCATCAGATGAAAACACTTGACATGAAATGCATTTTATCTTGTGCACCTTGCTCTTCTTCATGGCTTCATGTCACAGATTCGATTTTAACCCTATTGACACCAGCTTGAACCGCTGATACAAAGCAGGATGGATCCATGCTTTCATGTCATTTATGCCAAATTCTGACCCTACAGCAGATATGGTCATCAGACCAGGCAACGTTTTTTCAGTCTTCTATTATAAGATTTTGTTAAGCTTGTGAATTGAAACCTCAGTTTCAAGTTTTCATTGTGGTCTTCTGCTGTTGTAGCCCATATCTTTCAAGCTTTGGCATTCAGAGATGCTCTTCTGCACACCTCAGTTATTGAAATTTCTTGGGATAATTTGTGGGTGGAAGTAAGCGTAAGGTATTGATCACTGTCTAATCCGACTCCCTGTCCTCCTTTCTCTGTAAGGGTTCATTTCCCGGGAACTTACACTTGGTTCTGGTGTTGCGTCCCACTACTTTGTTCCAGCGGACTCTGTCGGACTTCCTGTTCAAGTTCAACAGGGATGAGTTCAAAATGAAGGTATGACTAATACACCGCAGCACTTTGTCTTTACGTAATGGCTCCCTTGTGAGTCACTGAGAGCACAATTATTATTTTAGCTAGTGTAGAGCTGTCGTCACTGTTGTAACTTATGTTTATGTTTGTATTCATCTCAAAATAAATGTGTGATAGTATTTATTTTAATCAGTTTGGGTGTATGTGTGTGTCAGGTGGTGATGCTGAGTTCTGTGACTGAGCTCCATGCGTATATCGATCCAGGACAACTAACCAAAGAGTTGGGAGGCACACAGGAATACCACCATGACAGCTGGATCTCGCACCGCACTGTATGTACACACACACGACTATTTTGTCCCCGATTTCTTTAAATATATATATTTATGTATGTTCTGACTTATTTTTTCTCTGCCACATACATATGCATACGTGTATGCCCTCCACAGGCCATTGAGGCCTTCGCCCTCATGGTGAAGACCACGGCTCAGACCTTGCAAGCGTTTGGCACTGAGCTTGCAGAGACCGAGTTACCCAACGATGCTGAGGCCACCACCATCCTGCTGCAGACGCACACACTGAAAAAGGATACGATGAAGGTTGGAGATGTTTTTCTGTTTTTGTGGCAAACTTCTTTTTCTCTTTTTGTTGCTTTTAGAAAGTTTTTAAAATGGTTTGAATTTCCAGGAGGACCTGAGGGTGGCGCAGTCACAAGGAGGACGGCTGCTGGATTGCATCAACGAGCCTCTCAAGGCAGACCCCGAATACAACATGACGCATGATGAACAGGAAAACTTGGCCACTGTGCAGAGGTGGAGGACTAAACTGAAGGATGCATAAATAAAAAATGAAGTTGCCCCTGCATGCATGAATAAATGTCTTCTTTTGTCTCCCATCGCTTCTCATTTGCCTCCTTTCCCCTTTCAGACTCCTAGGTCAGCTGGATGAGACGGAGATGGCATTTGACGACTTCTGGGAGCGCCACCGTACCAAGCTGGAGCAGTGTTTGCACCTCCGCCATTTTGAGCAGCACTTCCGTGAAGTGAGTCAAGAGTCATCCTCTCATCTCCAATCCAAATCTCGGAAAATGACGTGCTTATCAATCCCTGTGCTCCTCAGGTGCGCGCCCAACTCGATGTGACGTCCGACCGATTGTCGGGCTTCTCCGAGGTCAGCGTAAGCCCCGCCCATGCAGAGCACGTCCTCAGAGAGCTCAGCGGCCACGAGGATAAAGCCCGAGTAAGTACACACAATTGCACACGCAGTCTTGCTCATGTGGTTCAAAAAGACATGCTCAGCATTTTCTGTCCTCTGTTCGTGCAGAATCTCTATAGATCTTCAAAATGCTGAATACCAGTATATACTATTGTGTCCCGCTCTGCTGCTGAGGCTGAATTCTGTATATTCTGACTTATAATAAAGATATATTCCAATAATTGCAATTGTTTTGGTGTGTTTTGAAAGGACATCTTAGACCTCGCCTTGTCCTTGGTCAGTGAAGGTGACAGGCTGATAGAAAACTCCCACTACGCCGAGGACTCCATCAGGCCAAAGTGCACCGAACTGAGAGGAGTGTGTGAGGAGATCAGCTCCACTCTGAGGAGCAAAAAGAGCCTCCTGCTAAGAGCCATGGAGCTCCACCACGCTCTGGAGGAGGTAAGAGTGTGAGGAAGGCTTCATTAATCGTCCACAACAAATGCGCTGTATCCTTAGAAGCACTCATTGGTATTTCCCCCCCCCTCAAAGGCGTCGCACTGGTGTGAGGAAGGCATCTTCCTGTTGGCTAACCAGCCAGTGGACCGCTGTCAGTCTCAGGACGGGGCAGAAGCAGCTCTACAAGAACTGGAGCGATACTTGGATACAGCATCCCTGCACACCCTCACTGACCGCAGCGCCATCTGCTGCCAGTACGAGGCGGTGCTCAACTCTCAGCTCAGGGTCCGTGAGAAGATTTTCAGTTTAAATTTTTAATGTGTGATACCTTTATCATATTTCACATTGAGCTGCAATATTTTCCATCCTCCTTTAGGACCAGATAGAGAGAGTTTTCCAGAAGCAAAGCTCCGTCCAGGAGATGTTCGAGAAGAGACGCGTCAGCCTGAAGAAACTCGCCGCTAAACAGACGAGACCAGTCCAGCCAGTAGCTCCAAGACCTGAAGTCAAGTCACCGCATTCTTCTCCTCGTAAGTAGCCATCTGTAATTGGTTTAAAGAAGAACAAGTGCCAGGAACTGATGTCAAACGAGGTATCTTTTACTCGTTTAGTGGTGGTTTGATTAGGATGAGAAGGACGAATCTAAACGTAATGATGTTTTTTTCTAATCAGATCTAGAGAGAAAAGACAGGAGATACTCTGCTGATAATGCCCTCTCCAAAAAGGTAAATTCTTATAATTTCTACGAATGTTGTGTGATACAATAAAGGTTTTAAGTGGATGATAAATACTAAACATGCATGACTATGTGTGATATATTTATTTTTTAAGGTGGAGTCTCCTGTACACAACGGTGGCACAAGACATGCTTCTCTTTCAGAAGAAGAAGAAAACTTGGCAGTGCTTCGCCGGTAAGGGGTCAAAGTTCTTTCCCCAGAGCCCTAGATAGGAAAGCAATTATTTGGCAATCATGCTGCTTGTTCTTTGTAGTCCGCATTGTATTTTGTGTTGTGTGTGTGTACATTTCAGTCACGTGATGAACGAGCTGCTGGAGACGGAGAGAGCTTATGTCGAGGAGCTGCTGTGTGTGCTGGAGGTGAGCGGTGTCGGTAATGTTACCGTGACCTGACATTAATTGGTGAAAAGGCTGAAGCTCTTACTAAATGTGTGATGTTAAAATCCAGGGTTACGCGGCAGAGATGGACAACCCTGCCATGGCTCACCTCATCCCCAGCAACCTGCACAGCAAGAAGGACATCCTGTTTGGGAACATGCCAGAAATCTACCAGTTTCACAAGAGGTACGCTTTTAAGCTAATTGATTATATATGTGGGTGCTTTACAAATGTTGTTCATAGTTTGAGTATTTATACCTCTCTTTCCTGTCTCAAGGACATTCCTGAAGGAACTGGAAGCATACACTGACTGCCCAGAGCTGGTGGGCCGCTGCTTTTTAGAACGGGTGAGCACTTTTATTTTCTTGTACATCGTCGTTTTGACAGGAATCCCATCAACAGCAATGTTTCCGTCAACAGCGGTTGAGCTCGTACTGACTTGCTAATGATTGTTTTCGCTGCAGATGAAGGACCTGCAGATCTATGAGGCTTACTGCCAAAATAAACCTCGCTCCGAGAGCTTGTGGAGACAGTGCTCCGACTGTGCCTTCTTCCAGGTCAGCCCTCACAGCTGTAGCACCGCCTTCCTTTTCACTGGCTTTTAAGCAATATAAAACTTAAATCTTAACCGGCTCATGTTTTATACACCAGGAGTGCCAGAAGAAGCTGGAACATAAACTTGGATTGGACTCCTACCTCCTTAAACCCGTCCAGAGAATCACCAAGTACCAGCTACTGCTTAAGGTCAGCTCTGTTCATGTATTATGTACACCTGTTATGTAAGAGGGGGAATGACTCACTGTTTTGTTTTTTCAATGTTTGCAGGAGATGTTGAAGTACAGCAAGGGCTGTGATGGTTGTGACGACCTACAGGAAGCACTGTCCTCCATTCTTGGGATTCTCAAAGCTGTTAATGACTCCATGCATCTCATTGCCATCACAGGATATGAGGTTAGAAGAAGTACACTGCGTTTGCAAACTTTGCTGGAGGTGGTCAAATCATTTCAAACTGCCTTGAAAGTCTTGAATGGGTTATCTAGCTGTGGGAAAATGGGTTGAGTTTGCAGTTTCGTGCGTTCTTTTAAAATACAAAGCAGGTTAATTATTCTTTAACAAGAGCTGCTGGGGTTTACAGGGCCTGGGCATGAGTACACCCCAGACTCTCCCCTAAGTGCTCTCTGCCAACTCTCTTCCCACTTTTCTTATCTGCTTTTTCCATTTTCCCCTCAAGGCTAAAACCTTTCTTTGTTTTTTAAGTATATATAATCAAATATCTAAAAACATTAAAGGCTACAGAGCTGAAACACAGCTACCTGTGCAAAGGTGCAAAGCCAGAGTCAAAAACAGTTGCAATAGCTCCATCATGTGGCCAGTTTCAAAACTGCAATGCTGCAAAACTTTAACCAGGGGTGTGGAAACATAAGTGCTTGCTTCGGCAAGCGCGTACGCTAAATTGGATACGATACAGAGAAGATTAGCATGGCCCCTGCGCAAGGATGAAACATAAGGTCCAGGAGCCAGAATTTGCCCAATAAAGGTTTTAGAAAATGTGAAGGAAGGTGTAAATGTTTTAATTGATTTAACTGTATGTATACTGTACTTGTCCCACTGACGAGTAATAGGTATTAAATGACAAAAAAGTAAATTAACAAAAATGTTCTGCTTTATAATTACAGGACAGTTTTGGCAATAAGCTACCAGAATTTATTATTTATCGGCTTTCAGAGAGGTCGTGCAATGCAAAAACACGCATCTGTCTTTTCACCCTGTTAGGGTAACCTGTCAGAGCTGGGTCGTCTGCTGATGCAGGGCTCCTTCAGCGTGTGGACCGAGCATAAGAAAGGTCATGCCAAAGTGAAGGACCTGGCCAGGTTTAAGCCCATGCAGAGGCACCTGTTCCTGCACCAGAAGGCTCTGCTCTTCTGCAAGAGGAGAGAGGAGAACGGGGAGGGCTACGAGAAAGCTCCGTCTTACAGCTTCAAACACTCCCTCAGTGTGAGCCTGCTTGCTCCATTTTTAAAAGGAAGGTCGATGCCGTGCCGTAGCAGTAAAGATTTAGTGTTTAAGTTTTCTATATTCTTTCAGATGAGTGCGGTGGGCATCACAGAGAATGCCAAGGGAGACAACAAGAAGTTTGAGATCTGGTGCAACTCGAGAGAAGAAGTTTTTATAGTGCAGGTAAGGGCGTTCGACCTGATTGCTTTTATTAATCATACCTTTAGAGATGAGGAATGATTGTCCGCGCTTGTTCTAATCTAGGCCCCGACGCCGGAGATTAAAACAGCATGGGTGAACGAGATCCGCAAAGTTTTGACTCAGCAGCTCAAAGCCTGCAGAGGTATTGTGAAAACTTCTTTCTTAACTTTTCCAGAAGTTCTTATTTTTTAAACCTATTTTATTCCTTTTTAATACTTTTTTGTTGTTGTTTGTTGTTGTTGTATGTTTTAGATGCCAGCCAGCAGAAGAGCTCAGACTCTATGTCCCCAAGTCCCACCAGCAACAACTCTACTTCCATCTCTCTCAGGTTGGTGGCTTATATGTAACGTAAGGACTCATTAGACAGATTAGAGATAATAAGGAAAAAAATCAAACATACGTCTATTTTTTTTACTTTTTTCTTTTTGCAGCCCTTTCCGTAGCAGCGGTCAGAAGAACCAGAAGAAGCAAGAGGAGAAGAAGACTGAGCCAGCCCCGACCTCTGACAGCAACTCGTCATCCTCGCCGAAACACAAAGGTAGATGTTTGAATTAAACAGCATCTTCGAAGACAATAACACTTTTATCTAAGTCCCTACTCTAAGCTGTGCTCTAAACTCCCACTAAACCAGGTTCTTTTTGTCTTCATCTATCATCTTTCTCTCTCCTCTCCACTCCCCTGTTTGGGGCTTCTTCTCTCTTTTCATGGCTGCCCTTGTCCTGCACTCATTTCAAATCATTGCTTCCAGAAGAGCCGGTGACCAGTCCGACCACTGACAGGTCCTCAGTGGCCAAAAAGCGTTTTACTTTGCAGGGCTTCAGCAATCTCAAGAGTCCCAAAGGTAACATTAGCGAATGCAAACATTTTTTTAAAGGAAGGATAATGCTAAGAACAGCTCAGCGTGGCCCGTCACAGTATGTCGTTTGTCAGTGATGAAAAGTTCAATTGATTATCAGCAAGATACACCCTTAGCTATATAAACTAAGAATACTAATATATTAAATAAAGGCTTCAGAATCCAGTTCTGAATGTGAGCCTCTGTCTGAGCTTTTACCCGGTGCCCAATAATTAATCGGCCTCCTCCAGTCTAACCTGCTTCACGGCCTAATGGAGCACACGTGATCCCCGATGGTTATGTTGGAGACAGTCTGCCTCCTGGTGGTAAAGGTTTAACACTGCCATTGTGGCTGAATCAAAATGAATATTAAAGTTTTTAAATTATATTGGAAAAAAATACAACTAGTCACTGGAGTAGAGGTGAAAGTGAAGTAGAAGCTCCTCTTCATGAAAGTAGTATTAGTCAAAACTTTAAAGGTGACACCTTCATTATTTTTTTAAATTCTTGGGCTCTCAGTTCAGTTATTTAGCCTATAGCAGGCCTTTTTGCACATGCTCACTTTGGCCTATCTGCTACAAGACTTTTTTTTTTTTTGTTTTTTTTTTAAATAGCTCTACTGAGTTTAAGACGACCTTCTTCTGATTGGCTGCTCTTCTAAAGCAGGAGTTTGGACAGCAGCTGAGTTGTGCTTGTGTGCTCACAGGGTTTAACTTCATGCTTATCTTTACCTTTGACCAAATTTAATATGAGTATCCACCACTGTAATGGTGTGTGTGTGTGTGTGTGTTTGGCTATTGATTAGCTAAGACTGTTCACATCATGTACAAACTTCTAACGTTAGTGTTAATTTCTTGCTTCCTTCTCGCTTCTGTCCTCCCTCACTTTTCTTCTCTTCTTCCTCCTTCACGTCTTTCCTTCCTGTGTGGCCAGGCTCGACTCTGAGCCCTGAGCACAGCTCCAAACGCCACCTGGTAAAGAGCGATCCCACACCGTTTGGGTTCAAAGGTATATTTCCGCCCCATTATGAGGGAGCATTTCATTTTAGAGGCCATCTCACTTGACCACGATGTACTCCTGCTTCGATTGTCTCCATAATGTAGATTTGACACATGTTTCGTTACAAACGGGGTGTAACGTTGTAGCAACCCATCGGTCCATCAATATAGAGGCTGTTCTTCATCCTCTTGCTGATCATAGCGACTATCTGCATGTCTTCAAATGAGTAATAGAAGAAACTAAAATGGCAGTGATATATTTGTATTGTGTTGCTTTGTTTGCTAAAACTGCCCAATTGGAATCTGGTGCATTTACGATTTAGACCAATGAAATGTTTCCAAAGGCTGGTTTGAGTTTCACCCATGCAGATAGTCGCACAGCAGAGACCAACTTTGTAACCTTCATCCACAGGTCATCATCATCATCATCGTTACATGTCTGGTATCTTGTGCATTTCAGTGATGCTTGATCAGCTGAGCTGTTGTCACCAACACCACAGGCTGGTTGTCACTGATTTTTATTTTTTTCATTTTGCTGGCCGTTTCTTCCCCTTCAGAGCCGGCTCCCCACATCACTCTGAGCAGAGTCAGATGGATGAGCACCTCTAGTCTGTTACAGAGCAAGCGGCGAGGTACAGAGCTGCTCTGAGCATCAGCAGCCACAGTGGGGTGTTTGCTGTTGTTTGTGGGTGCTCGTGATTGATTTGAACTGAGGTAAAGTGTCGCAGCGTGTATCTGCCGTGGGAGTCCTTTAGCCTTTTACCGAGTCTTACTGTCTTTTTGCACATTGGAGCGAGATCTAAAGATTCAACCTGACTAAATCTGAAGTCTCAGTTCTAGGCTAAATCTTTTTGCACGGTGCCTACTCGACCTCAAATCAATCATTGCCTCTTCTTCTGCTGTCGGGTGTTTTTTGCTTGTTTGGGGTTGTTGTGGTGCTGTACACAGTACGCCACTTCAGCAACTATTTTTCGGCACTGGGAGTCAGAGCAGCCTTGTAACAAATGCAGGTGACTGAAATCTGTTTTCTGATCACAGGTCCTCCTTTTCTTTCTGTCTGATGATGATCTTCTCTGTGACTTTTGGAGGAGTGTGTGTGGTTTTTGTATCTAAACAGATAAATTTTTCATAATCTGATCGATCACATTTTTTGGGGGGGAGGGGGTTACCCTCCACACAGGAGATTTGTGTGGCTTTCACAAATATTTGATCCATTCATGTCATTTTTCTTTACTTCACTATTGAGCTCAAACATCTAATCTCACTTGATTTAACATGGAGCTTTGTGATAAAGATCGACCTCACTTCTCTCCTTTTGCCCCCTTTTTTTTTGTCTGTGTGTTGAACTTTTCTCTCTCTGATTTTCCCATCATCCAACCTACAGGCTGGAACAAGGCGTCTCTCTCAGCGGACGCCTCAGAAGAGAACGATGGGTACTCCAGCGGCGAGGACCCCATGAACTCTGACCCCGAGGACGAAGTAGGAAAGAAGCTGGTGAGCCTGAGAATGAAGAATTATTAAAGATTTGTATTTTTATTTCTTTTTTAGCTTAAAATGTTAAAGTGTGGTTCTAAAAGTTGGTAAAGTTGTTAACATTTGATCCTTTTAGGCTCCAGGAAAGTATACTGTGGTAGCAGACTGCGAGAAAGCAGGACCTCAGGAGCTGTCTGTTAAGAGTGGAGACATGGTCCAGCTGATCAGAGAAGGAGAGGAGGGACAGTGGTAAAAAAAAAACAAAAGCAAACAACACTTAATTTAAATGGATTTTAATAGGACCCAGATGCATTTGAGCTGATAGGGAGGAAAGAGTAACTCAAATAACCACTTGTTACCAGCAAGGTGTGCAGAAGAGCATCTCTGAATGCACATGTCACACCTTGAAGCAGAGGTCCACAGTGGGTGTCTTCTGGAGCAAATGTGTGGCACTATAGACCCAAGATTGAGGAATGTTTCCAGGACTGTGTCGAATCTGTGCCACAAAGAAAGAGTAAAAGTTGGTCATTTGTGACTGCACACACTTCTCAGTATAGCCGCCAAATTTAAGGGCTCCAAATGCGAACACTGCTTTTAAGCAGACTACAAATGGACTAGCACAGCGGTCTCCAACCTTTTTTGCGCCACGGACCGGTTTATGCCCGACAATATTTTCACGGACCGGCCTTTAAGGTGTCGCGGATAAATACAACAAAATCAAACTAGTACCGGTACCGAGAAAAAGAAGATTTATTCATAACACACGTGAAAAGACCCAGGGAAACAGAGTTAACGATAAAAACGATAACAAAATAACGCTGAAAACCGATAAAAACCCAGTCTCTCTCTCACGCACACACGCACACTAAGCACGTTGTGTAACATTCACACAAACACTCGCACTCGGGAGAATTTAGTTCTTGTACGTGTAAATGGAGAGTAACTGTCATAGGTCTTCTATTTCGACCTTTTTTTATTAGCCACAATGTTAAAACTTCTCACCAAAACGAGCTGTAAGCAATCTGGATACTGGGTCAAATTGTGGAAATGTCCTGTGCTGTATGGTACCAGGATCCTTTGGGTCCTGTTCAGGGTGAGGTGCAGTCAGTGCATTCCAGAATTGCTCCCCCTGAGCGTGGGGATTGGAGGGGTTTGGTTGGTCGGTAGCAATGCTTACATATATGTGTCATCAGCAACCATATAAATACCAGGATCCAAGATTTTCTAACTGAGCATTGCTTTATAACAAGATCATCAGTGCTGTATATTACACTTACAGTGGTTTTAATGTTGTGGCTTATTAATGTAAAATGTCCTGTAATTTTATCTCAAAATATATATATTTATTTAACTCCTTCACAGGTTTGTAAAGAACCTTCGCACCAGTAAGGAGGGCTGGGTGGCAGCAGCAAACCTCCTCAGCCTCATCTCAGAGTCCAAGTCATCTCAATCACTCAGCAGCTCAGGTCGGTTACAACGAACAGGAAGTACACACATTCATATCTTTCCCTTAACGCTGCAGTATGGGTACCTGTTGCCTAGCAATGCGGCACAATGACGCTATTACTCTCCCCTGCAATGTCTGGCTCTAACAGAGCATTGCTGTTTGTGTGTTTGTCCTGCAGATGGCAGCGTCTCTGGGAACCTCAGCACTTCTTCCAGCTGTAGTGAGACCTACACCAGCTTCTCCGACATCAAACCCTGACCTGAGTCAGGTCTTCCCAGCTTTTTTTTTTTTTTGTTAAATCACTGCACCTAAAATCATTTTGTACAGGTGGAAAATGCTTAAAAAACAAAGAAGAAAAAAAGCTGGAGTTTGGTCTGACAGGAGGACAGTCACCCACGTCACAGTTTCTAAATCCATCTGAAAACCAAAACTTTCTCTGCAGATCAGCCAGCGCTGGCTAAGTGCTAACTGCCCCCCTTTTTCCAGAGTATTTAGAAGAACTGCACTGTCATTTAAAATTGTTTTTATATTCAAAGGTGTCAGCATGTTGGTAGAATTTAAGTATAGATTTTTTTTTTTTTGCCGTTCCTTCGAGCGAGAGGGAAATATCAGGGATATCTGTCATTCCTCGGCACACAAGTCATGTGATGTATCACCTCCTGCGAGGCCTTCTTTAAAGCTAAATGTCCGCAGTCTAATAACTGACTGAACAGGCAGTCCAGGCCTAGTGATTATGTAGCATTAATGTGGAGAGGTTAGAAAGGACATCTGCACTAAACACGCGCCGTCTGCAGAGGGGACAGAACTGCTGGTTAGTCGAGCCCCTTCAAGTCGATGACGACATCACAGCACGGCGACAGATTCTTGTGCAGGAGGATGTTATGTAGACAAACACCATCAGACCCCCGATAACGCTGGCTTTGGTGTCAGTCACTGATTGCACACTGTGAAAAGTAGCAGGCGGCCGCAAGAGGAAAAATGCTTTCAGTACATCTGGGAGGAAAAGTGAGCAGGTTGATTGCGTGCAGGCGTTTTGTGTTGTTGAAGCTACTAAAGAACGCTGTATTCCTCACACATGGATAATGAGCTTCCCCTAAAAGCTGTTTTTATGATATTAAGAACCGCACGCAGTCACTAGGTGAATGTCAACAACAGTGCAACCTGGTGGTCAGGTGTCTTGCACTTCATTCTAAATGAATCTTTTTCCTCCTATGAGGGATTGAGCAACCCGCCAGTGCACTGCTCTGGATTTTTACCTCTCAGGAAGACGTTTCTGTAGGCAGACAGGTGTGACTGCATACCTGTCTTTGTGTCCGTGGGGGTGCGCGCGCACACTCACCTGATTGTTTGTGTTGACAACAGACAGCAGTTCGATCAGAGTTTTTCAGACACATGTGCAGCCTCTGCTCAAACAGCTGTCGCGGCCCAAATCTCAGTGTTCTGAATGTGTGTCTGTTTTTTGTGTCACCGTGCTCACCTATCTTTGGTCTGCACCGCAGCAACAAAAGCAGGCTTTGTCCCCCTCCTCCTCCCCCCCTCCTCTCTGTGCAACCAGCCCCATTCAAGCATGTGACAGTAGCTGCTTCTCCGCAAGCTGGGTTAATAATACCACGGCCCGGACCTGCTCGACATGTTTGCACCTCCGGCCTGAGAGCAATACTTTGTGTACTTGACACCAAAATGTAGCTGAGTAAACGTCACAGTTAAGTAACTAGTTTAGAAAATGTGATACGTCCACTGTTCTGATGTAGATTGATGCCCAACCGCCTTTGACGACCAGCTGTTCTGCACGCAACTTCTGAAACCTGTGCTATTCTGAACACTGAATGACACCTTGCTTTTTAAATGTTTTTTAAATATATATCCCAGGATTTTTACTGTATCCACGAGGTACACTGTAAAACAATCGCTCCTTTTTCCACCTGCGTTGTTGAATGTGTGACACTGTTTCAAACAGGAAACCAGCTTGTCCACCTGCTTGACAAAGCCATGATTAACAGTTTTTTTTTCTTAGATTTTTTTTCTTAATTGGACTAAAATCAGTGCTTGTGATTGCCTTCTCAAGAACTTGCTGAGAAGCACTTTTTTCTTTTAAGATCCTCCCACTGAACGTAAAGGAAGAGGAAACAAACCAGTTTACAGGCCTTTCGATGTCAAACTGTGAGCTAAACTGTGGCTTGCATAGCTGTGCGTCCACGTGCTGAGAAATAAATGTTACACTTGTACAGATGTGTCCTCTTATACCTCACACTGTTCCCCCTAAAGAGCATGTATATTGTTAAGAGGAGTCTCTCTATCTCTCTGTATATCATCACTCTGTGTGGCATGTACTTCATAAGCCCCATGCTGTAAACCTCCTGGAGAACTATTTTTTACCTGTTTGTGAGAGTTTATATTCTGCCCTCTTGAGAAAGCTGACATGGGCACTAAAGTCGTCAGTTTTTTGGTTTTTTTTTGGTCACCCAAATAAAATCTTACCGTGTAATTTGTACTTTTTCGACTCAGAGGCTGGAGACATGAGAAAGGATTCTATTTTTTAAAGTTTGTTTTTATGCAGCACATTGCAGCACCCACTGTCTTGATTTTCCTATTGCACATCTACTGAATATGCTGTTGATATAACAGCATATTACAATTTAAAACTTGTTACAAGACATATCCATGTACATTTGTAAATATGTAATTCTGACTTGTATGTAAATTGAAAAGCAGCTTTAATAAAGTCTGAAATGGTTTCCTCTATTGAATTTAGCCTTTTTCTCTATTATTATGAATTTTAAAAATATATTTAATAGTTAGCTGTTTATTTTTGAAGTCAGCTAAAAACAAAAAAAGGAAGAGAGAGAAATTGACAGTGGAATTAATTATTAATTGTGATCCGGAAGTGTAATTTCAACCACATGGTTCCTTTCCTCCAATGGGCTTTTATTCCAGTTTAGACTATCATGATTCAGTCTAGGGTTCGTTCCAATAAGTACTGCTGCCGACCTTGAGGTCTGTTTTCCGCTTAATTTCCCTCTTGCACGTAAACCCTACGTCACCAAAGTAGTTTTCAGATGTATTTCCTGGTAACTGTATTAAATATGTGCTTTTGTGAATATACACGATGCAGTAATACTTCAGTCAAGGCCGTAAGTAGCGCTTGAAGTCGGAGGATGTGAACGAGAATCAGCCGCGGCTGGAAAGATACAGATTTGTCAAGCTAGCAAGCGTGAACCACACAGGAAGTGACGAGAGTTGCACTACAAATTACAAGTTTTTATGAAGCCCCGATGCAATAGAGGACTTCTTGGTTCAATTCATAAATACAGCCTTATTTAAATTACTCCATCGATGGCGTCCACTTTACTTTACAGCACAATCGTGCTTCTCCTCCACCCTCCAAAGAAACAAGGGGCCGCCGATTATTTTACTATGACAGCGCAATCGGGAAGTCCTTAATCTCTCCGTTCTTGCTAACTTGGCAGCACACTGGAAAGCGACCAGATGGAATTCAGCACTGCCTTCTTAACAGATTCCACACATTTTAAATTGTTTCGTACACATTTTTAGCCGACTTTTGTGTCGACAAACAGCCCTGGCGTGAGCACAGGCGTCTATCTGGGAGCTTCGGCTGCGCTGTGAACCGGGACAGAAGCGGTCAAGACATTTACAGATCCCCCCCCACCAAACATCTTCCCACTGTAAGTATTATTTCTAGGCTCTACTGTCGAAGAGCAATAGCTTTCAGATAACCTAATATGACTGCCCTTTGTAACTTAAGTCGGTGTTGAAACGTCGGTTATGTTGATGCATGAGAGAGCCCCAACGTCCCTTTCTGCAGTTGTTCATGAAATGATGCAGACAACTGTGGGTAGCTTTGGAAATCTGTCAAACAAAAAAGAGGGGAGTTTGGCCGGAGGCGAGAGGGGTGTAGCCTTGTTAAATCACATTGTCTGGGACTGTTAATGCGGCCTTATGTGCTGTTTACTGCTGTCAGCGTTATAAGCTCTTATTCCTCTAAAGAGGGTAATTAGCGAGGTCTTTAATTCCTCGGGAGTTCATATACAGTGTGTGTATTTTGTTTTTGGTCCCCCCCTCCTCCCTCCTTTATTACTTTAAACGACTAGGACCAGGTCAACCCGAATGATCACAATCCAACTTCCGGGTTTGGATTTCAAAGTAAAATGCTAGTCATAAAGTCTCCATTGAGTCACTGCTTTATGCAGCTGTAAACCTTATCAAGATCACAGTTTTGGCAAATTTTATTTGATTTTTTTCATTTTATCATATGGCTTTTAAACAAAGACACTTAAATAGTGCCAATAGTTCCAATTCACAACAACAACAACCATAAGGTGCTTTATATTCTAGGGAAAAGATCCTACAAATGGGAAAGATCAGACAACCCCTTGATGGACAAACACTTGGTGACAGTGGGAAGAAAAAACTCCTGTTTAACAGGACGAAACCTTTGGCAGAACCCGGGTCAGGGAGGGGGCTGTGATCAGCTGGGAGTGATAAGAAAGAGAAGAGAGCAGGACAAAAGGCTAACTATAGGGAAAGAGAGCCTGAATTTCATAATTATTCATGTTTAAAAGGTAGTTATTTTGCAAAGTGAATAAATGATTGACAAGTTAAATATCTGTTGAAATAATAGTTGCACTGATACTATCGCATGGACATTAGTAACCTACGAGCAATTAAATGACGTTCCCCAGTGGCATTGGCCAATGTTTATGTGCTGTATCAGATCAGGTCTGTGCCAGATAAACGTTCAAAGACAGTGTGATAAGGAGCTCAGAAACTTTAAATCTAGTAAGATAATCTGGAACAGAGATTATTTTGTTTTCCTGACACTGAATGAAGAATAAATAACAACAAAAAATGAAACAAAACAATATTAGCGAAATTTATAGATTATTTTTAAAATATTGCATTCTCCTAATAATTTGGTTCATCCTTAATTGCTAGTTCCAGCCCTACATTTATCTTTGATGCTATACAACACTTTTTGACGTAGATTCTTTCACAAAGGTGTCTTCCATACAGTCTCGTTTCATGACTCACTCTCGTGCTTTTAATTTGAAAGCGGACTACAATATATGCTTTACATTATGAGTAAATCCACTGGCCTTGATATCTCAAGGTAAAAGCTATTTCACACTTGATTGCAGTATTAACCTGTAATGACTCTGCATTTAAGTACAGCAAGCTTCATATTGTCCTGAATAAAAAACTTGCACATTATAGTTGTGATTTGTCAGACTGTTACCTTTGACTACCAGCAGTCCATGTGAGTCATAAAGACTCCATCTAGCCTGGCTGTCATGTCCTCTGTGTCTTGCTTCTCAGTAGATCCACCAATCAAATGCTCAGGCTTGTTTTTAGGTTAGTGTCTGCCACCCGTAAGGAAGTAAATGTGATTGAAAAGGAAAGTTTGCCTTGCTGACAAAAGAGCCCCCACTTTAAGTATTGCAGTAGCTTTTCACAGCCATTCTTGATAACGCCGGCTTCCTCCAGCTGGACATGCAGAAAGTGCCAACCACTGAGAGCACAAAGACCTAAGTCAGTCTTAAATATTACAGATGTGCCCTGTATGCTTCACTGAAGTGCATCAAGTGCAGTTGGGGATCAGAGTTTAAACTAATATCAGGTTGGTCCTACCTAACAATCTCTTTGTAAGTGAGATTTTGCTTGATGATGTCTGGTCTTTCATGTCGCCTTTCCTTGTGAATATAATTGAAGCAAACAACTCTTTGTAGTCGGAGGTGGGCATAGATTAGATCGTGGCTCAAACAGTTGGCAGTTCGTCTTGTAACCGGAAGGTTGCCGGTTCGAGCCCTGGCTCGGACAGTCTGGGTCAGCTTTGTCAAATTAACTTAAAAAGGCCTGAAACTGTGCTGCTATAAACTACAACCTGTGTGTCTTCACTCTGATCTTACGACTGATAGACGTGTTCCAGCTTCGTCAGACGTGAACCTTCCAGTCAATGCTTTGTCAGATTTATTGCAGTTGATGTTAATCACTTAGCTAATGCCAGCAGCAATAATTCATGCTGAACGAGCGGGTTATTGTCCTTGCTGCTCCTCCTTCAGCGTTTGCATTCCTGTTGCATGTGTTAGTAGTACATCATGAATGACTCACATTCCAGGCAAAAATAATAGGATGTCACCTTTCTCCTTCATTGAAAGGCTGTGGTAGATTCTTCGCATTGTTAGAAAACTTCTAGGCTTAATTAAATGAATTTGCCAAGAATTCCTGAGCACAAAGTTAATTTATTTGAACAAATTATCAAGTGTGCGACGAGCTGCCCCACTGCTTCCCCCTGGTTTTACCACAAGCCACGAAATGTCCAGCTTGTATTCCCTCTTCTGCCGCCTGAGTGGCCTGTAGGTGTGACAGATCGCTACGTCACCGTCTCTCCAGCTTCTGTCGTGGATCACTATCTTGCTGCGCTGGAATGTCACCGATTAGTCATCAGAGCCGCCCACTGCCATGCAGTTTGTTACAGTGAATGTTACTATAATCCAGCGCTGCAAAAGGCAGCTGTTTGATGAGGGCAGTGTCAAGAGAGTTATGACTAATATGACTGTTAGTCATTTTTTAAATGTATTCCCATATGACACAAATGATTTAAAAGTGATTAAATCATTTGTTTAGTGTTTAAAAGAGAGCAAGTTCCTGCCTGGGGATCTGCCTGAAGCACTGATTCGTAAGTGGGCAGCAGTTCTGATATATTTTCTGGGGTTAGCCCACTAAAGGCTTGACAATTAAGAGTAACTCTACTAATTAATTTGAAACAAATCAGCTAGAGTCATTAAAAATCTGATCAATATTTTTGCTTTTCTGTCTTTTGCTGTTTTATGTAAACTAGAGTTTATTATTTGATTTCTGATATATACCTTATTAAAGGACCTTTGCAGTACTCTAACCGAGAGGAAATAACACCGTTAATGGTAGTTTGTGTATCAGTGATATTAACAATTCACAACAACAGTTGCCTCATAGTGTTTAAAATTTCAAGGTAAAGGTCTAACAATTAAAGGATGTGGTTAAAACGCCAAAATGACCAAATAATGATATCTGTAGTGGTCTTAAAGATCCAATATCAGTCAGGCTCTACTTTTATATCAGTTAGACAATTTGTAAGTGGTAGCATTATAGTGAAAATACAGTTCACCCTAGTATTGAACCTTGAGGGAATCCATACTTTGATAGTGAGGAGAGACATTTTTCATAAGAGCTGCAATTCAATGATCAAACATTCAGTGGTCTACAAAAGGATTGCATAGTTCAGGAAAACTGTAACTACACAACAAATAAATCTTTGATCAGTCAGATATGCATGTAGTGCATTAGGAAGCGAGTTGAATCAAATGTACTGAGTGACTCCTCAGCACAGCGGTGTTAGGATGACAGTAAAGGCCCATATGTCTGCAGCAGAGGTCATGCTTTCAGATAACCCAAGAGAAATCTGCTTATGGCGAGAATGTGCCGTCGCTCGGTGCTGTGTCTACACTCGGCTGACTATCGTGTCAGCGAGGCAGCACGAGAAGGCAATCGGCCTGTTTCTGTCAGGTCCTAACATAATTAGATTATCAGTATACTTTGATATGTCACAAGACGAGCCATACCCCTGATGACAATCTTTATTGTATTATACCATACTATACCGATTTGATTCGGTTTGTACCTTAGGAACATAACGCAGGGATCTGATAAGTTTTAGAGCATGTGATATGAGTTTGGACTGAAGCTGAACAAA